TCTTTAGTGGTAGTAGCAAACTTTCAAATGAGAACTTTAAACCCCCGCCCCCGCGGCGGAGGGTTCCGGGAAAAACCAGGTCACATCGCAACCCCGCCTTGGTACCCCAGCCGCTACCCAGATCTTAGGAGCATTGTCTTCTTCCGACGGCCTTCTTTCCCGTAATCACCCTCACCGTCGAAAGTACCCGGCGCAATATCGCGCCCGGGTTCATCCAACTCCCTCTGCCTTGCTTTCGGCCACGTTCGCTGCGCTATCACTCCGTCTCTCAGCCGGGTTGACGTCACCGCGGCGCCTCAAACGCGGTACGGTCCGACAGTCAGTCAAATGCCAAAGTGCAAAATGCGCCTGGCTGTCAGGCTTCCTCCGCTATATCCGTACCGTCCTTGCGCACGGGTAATGCTAATCTTCTGTGTATCGCTCCAATTTTTTACGGATGTCCCGTAGGACCTGACCGGAGCAGCGCTCCCACGGCAACCCCGTAGCCACAACCGTTGCGGTGCCACCTTAACAGATGCCCCCTGCCGCGGTAACACCCCGCCGTAGAGCGTTGCCCGACCACGCCTGCCGGCCTAAGAGAAACTTCGGAATGAGCTAGCTACTAGACGGTTCGATTAGTCTTTCGCCCCTATACTTAAGCCCCTACGGGTGGACTGCATAGTAGTGCTACAGCCMCCCCTGCCGTAAATACCCCCGGCTTACCGCGCACACTCGGGCCGCCGTGCCCATCGCGCTCGCGACCATTTTCCGATCATCCGGGTTTGAACTGGAGTCTGTATTTCAACAGTTCATGGGTGTACCCACTGGGCTAAAGACTCTTGGGTGCTGCTACACCTACGGTACCGCGCTCCGGGCCAAAACGGGACCGCGCATAACAATAAAGGAAAAACAAATAGATAAATAAATAAAAAATAAAAAACATAAAAGACATAAAATATCATAAATAAGGGTCCCTATGCACGGTACGGGGACTGCTAAAGCCCCACCGGTCCCGTGGATCGGCCCCGCCGCTACGTCTGTCAACAAAAACCAGAAGGGGATAGCCCGTCGACCCTCAACCCCTCGGTTTTCTCCGCACGCTCCGCTGCAGTTGTTACGCCCACGCCCGCCGACCTCGACCCCAGAACCTCCGTATCAATAGTCCGATGCTGTAACCTATAGGGCTAAGCCCAAACCTAAGACCAAAACACGCCGAATGTCATATAAGGCGCTACGGCGCGGCGCTCAGGACCAATAAATTGGCTGCGAACCTCTCAGTACTCGCGCCGGTTCGCTTACACGGTGCCATAATCGCCCTGCGCGCCATCCTACGACACCCCGCTCTCCGCACGAAGCCGCGCCGTCATTGCCGATGCCGTCGTCGGGGTTGCTCTCTGCACGCGCGCTCGACTCTGTCAAAGGTACCAATCAAAAGAAAATATCCTTAATTTTTTGCTTGATTAGAAAAATAAATAAATAATAATAATAAGCAAAACGACCGAGGTCCGGATCGGCCTTACGATCAACAACAGAAAAGAATCACGCGCGCCTCAAACCTGCGCGCCCACGCACTCGCTATTGTGGTCAACCACCCAATCAACGCAATTACAGACACAGCCGCGCTTAGCGCGGTATACTTAAATTCTAAACCAAAACCGTTTTTCTGTTACTTGCAAAAACCAGGGCGGGTACCCTTGTAAGGGTATTCGCACCGACACCGGGACTTTTGGAAAAACGAAAGACTGGTCCTCAACTGAAAGTGGACCCCAAAATTAAGTGGGGGTGGGGTAAGGATCCTCAGGCCCAGGCATTGAGGCCCGTCTTCTCGAAACAGGGAGGTCAGACGCAACGAAATAGGCGTTTTGAAAGAGGCACCTTTGGCGATTTTCTGTGCTCCGAGGAACTCGCAGAAAAATCTGAAATTTTGAGAATCCATATACGAGGTCGTGTTCTTTCTAAGAAAAATATTAGAACAATTTAAAAAATTCATTTAGACCGAGAAATAATCGTCGCGCCAATAAAGCACATTTTTTATTTTTGCCACTCAACCATGTGTGGGCCAACTTAAGAAGTACTCCAAATTCAGTGAGTTTTCACTCTCACAAAAATGCGTAAGAAAACCTGAAAATTGGAATACTCGTAGATTTTGTTGTGATCTTTCCAGGAAAAACGCTAAATAAATTTAAAAAAATCATTCCAACTGTGAAATAGATCGCGACCGCAATGTAACCCATATTTCAAGTTTGCCATTCATCCTCTCTCTCTCTCTCTCTCTCTCTCTCTCTCTCTCTCTCTCTCTCTCTCTCTCTCTCTCTCTCT